TATATATATAGGTGTGTCTACACCTATAGTTCAAGCCCAGCACCTTCTTGCTGTATTCTAGCAGTTTTAAGAACTAAAGTGAATAATTCCACTATTGCTGTCATAAACGCTGAATACAACCAAATGTATCTAAATTAGGGCTGCAACTAATGATTATTTTGCAAATTGATTTATCTGTCGATTATTTTTTCAATGAATCAATTAATAATCTTATAGCGAAAGGTTCCTTAAAGAAGTTTTTTTTATGGATTTAAACCAGGTGAAACTAAAACGTATCTACTTGAGAAGTTCTAGATAGAGGAAATTGACAGAAGAAAAAGTTTTTTATGTATTAAATGCTAAATATTTGTATATTTCTTTTTACAATTTTGCCACAGTTAGACTATTTAGAGTCACTATACTCCAGTTAACAATTAATTCATTACTGAATTAGTTGACAATATTTAGATAATCAATTAATTATGATAAATCAGATTACTGGTTTCAGCCCTAATCTAAATATATATAATATCATGAAAAAGTTTAGTATTTTATGTCAATCATTTAAGAAATGAAAATTTAATATGATATATGGAATCCTTACACATAAAGTGAAATATTTAGAATATAATAGAAAATAATACAATAGAAAATCCCTTTATTGTCCCACAATGGAGAAATTCTGGTGTTTATTTATTAGAATTTGGAAATTTTTGTATTCAATAAAAATAGCCTGAAAAAATTAAGAACCTCATAAAATTTGGACGCCAAATACTGTAAGATCAATAAAACCTAATCATGACATTGTTCCTGATTACGGTTTGCTTCTTAATCTCTGAATGGCCTTTCAAGACTAATACCATTCAGAGATGATGTATTGTATTGTATAATGATGTATTTGTATTCAGTTTTGCACAACATCTAAAACAAGCAGGACAGTGGAAACCCTTGCATTAATGGAATTGTACTTTTAGAGTTGGCCAGTAAAAGCTAAAGAATTTAAAGAAACTGCTAATGAAAAAAGTTATGTATCATTTAAACGATTAATTAACACTAGAAGTCCCAGGATTTTAAGTTTCTCCCTCCATCTGGCAAAGATAACTGCCCCACCCACTCACTGTTGGATGCTCCTGCATACTTCTGCGTGTTGTCACCCCTTCTGAATGTTGCGGTCACTATTGTAATGCAAACATCCTCTAATGCAACCATCCCCAGTACATTATATTGGAGAAAGACTGAAACAAATGAGCATCAGACCATGAGCATATTCCAATGATGTTTCTTCATTATATCTTTTTGCAGTGATATAATGATAGGTTGAACCAGTTCAACAACCACATCTCATATGGGACATAGTTTCCGAGCTGAGGAAAAGTCCCATTTGTCCCATTTAGCAGTTTCCACTAACCCAAGGTGACCTTCTTTCATTTGCGACAGGTATACTTTCTACAATGTACACAACGCTAAGTGCTGTGTTTTCTGCAGTTGAGTTTGCGGATGCGATGTGGCAAAAGTGTGCATCCACAGTGTGATTAACTTGTTCATTTGATCGTCTGTGCAATATCAATCACTGCTGCAGCAAGACAGGAGAAAAAAGTTGATTTAAAATAAAATGCAACCCACTGAAGAGGAGCAGAGACTGAAGTGACTTATGAATAATAGATTTTGCCTCCTAATAAATAGGGCAGATTGATATTAATACATACATATTCCTGAATTCCAAATGAGGAGCTTAGCTAATGTCTAAAATAAAAACAAAATTATTTATACAGTATGCATCTTTGGGGCATGCTACAAAGAAGAAGTTTCTATAGGGTATTTATGTATATCTGACAGATACCTAGGTATGGGTTTTCCATTCACTCACATCCTGTCTCTATTGTCAACTGTGACAGGCGTCAGTATTAAGAACGTGTGAATCTGATTGTCTAATATGAATCAATTCTGCAGCAAGAGAAGCCCAACAGGTTGATTACAAAAAAAAAAAAAAAGACTGACTCGATGGTGCAAACCTGACCCATGGTATGGAGCACAGGAGTGACCTATGAATAATTGGTTTTGTCTGCTAGTAAATATGGCAGATTGCCTTTATTCTATAAATATTTTTGCCTTCGCTCTCTACACTATTCCAACTTAAGAAGCTACCTTCTTTGTACAGATCAGTTATCAGCTGATCAATCTGCTGGCGGCTCATCAGTCATTTCAATAACAGATCTGGCTCATGTCCAGCGCAGTGCCTCGGGCTTTATATATAAAAGAAGATGGCTTGGAAATGTGTTTAGTCTTGAGAAACAGAATAGCTGTCGCAAAGCTGTTTTTACTGCAGAACAGGACATCAATGCAGAAAACAGAGACCAGTTACAGTAGATACTGATGTGCAACCCATCTTTGATTTGCCCTGAAGGACTAGTCTGCAAATATGCTGATGTTTCAATTTGGATTAATGCAAAATTATGGGAAATTATGAAGAGTTTTATTTATACTTACCGGACATTTTGTGATGCTCTGCTCCCACTGGCTCATTCTGACACTTTTTTCCAGAGTGGTGCATTTTTTCAGCAACAAATCCCATCCACAGTATGGGTCCCTGGCTCCTACACATGCTCTAAATGGTGGGAATACAAATGTCCTGATTAGAGGGGGTTTGTGAGTCCGTTCAAACTCAGATATCTGCATTTGAAAAATGGTATAAAATCAACCATCAGGTATAAGAAGAATACGGATGAAGGATATAAGTAGTAGGTTCGATATATATTAAAACATAAGATCCAGCAGAAACAGGATGATGGCGAAATATATAAAAGAAATTGCTGTGGGAAAGAGAAAAAGGACATAATAAAGACTGTAAAATAACAAAGGAAAGCAATATTAAAACTATTGTCTCTGAATGCAGAACATGCATTAGCATCGTGGAACTTTAACTTTACTTAATTCAGTATGCTGACTGAATTTTCGACATCAGCGCAAATATTATCTAAACTGAGGATATTTCAGTAACACAGCTGCATACTGTATGTCTTTTGAATAACCACTGCAGATGGTTTATTGAATGCTAAGAAACCCTTGATATAACTATTTTCATATAAATACATACAAGGCTGCAGTGACAGAGCAGTGAAATATCTTTGGGCTGCATGCATCATTTTGAATGACATTGCCGCTGGTGGAATTTTTTTTTTCTGTTTTATTCGCAAAGTTTCATAACAACAAGACAGAACACAGACAGAAACCGCATCACTAAAGTATGGACATGTGATCTATAAGCTTTAGCATCTATCCCTGTGAAATGTATAAAAAAAGAAGTCTGTTAATTCCCTGTTGGTGAATTAATATTGTGGGTAAAGCTGTGTTGCAGGCCAGCTCTTGTCATGCCAAAGTCAGGGATGACAACAGCTGAGTAAGTGAGAAGCAATGCAAAAGACCAAACGTGTTTTTCCGAGGGACTGGTGATTTGTCATCCAAGAAAATACAACCATTAAAAAAGGCATCATTCTAATACAGCAACATCTAAACAAACGATTATTATCACAAAGGGGATTAATTTAATTGGTATAACCCAAAACTCACATAAAGTCATGTAAAAAAATGTCTCAATTATATTGTTTAGGTAATATACTTTTAGAATAGAAAATTGAGGAAAACAAGCAATTTTATCAAGCAATAATTTTTTTATTTTTTGGTTTCTTAAAAAAAGGAAAATTAAGTAGCACGAAGCACCAGCAAAAATTATGTTTAAAAAATAAATGTTTTATACATATTGTTTCCAACAAAATTAAAGGACAGGCATTTCAGCAGTCATTCACAATGCAGGTAGGCTAAGCCATAAAGGTTATGCTTAAGATGTTGATTGTTTATAGTGATTTATCAAAGTTTACTATTGGAAAACTGAGTAGAAGGAATAAATCTAGAAAACGTCCAGAAGCAAAAACGATGACCACAACCTTGGAAGGATTTTGAACTAACCTATTCAAGACTTTAACATTTAACATCCTGTTATTTCCGATCCAATGTGATACCAATACATGGGCTGAGCATATCGGCTGATATCTAATACTGATCCTATACAGTTGTTGAATGAATGAACCATTAATCTTGCCATGTGAGCGAACGCTCTGGCCTTGACATAAACATTGTTAATAAAAAAGTAACAAATGAACACAGATATTAATTTACTTATTTCTTAACAAATAAGCAGCAAAAAGAAAGAAATAACAAAGATCTCTTATATCTTAAATTAAATCATTGATATCTGATCCAGGTATCAGATCATTACATCTCTACTTTAAAAGGGATTAACAAGTTCCACCACACAGACATGTCTCCAACACATAAAATACAGTGATATTCTTTTTGGTAAACAATTACTTCACCATAAGAAACAGCAAATGTTTCTTATTTAGGGAATTGTGATCAGTGGTGTCATGATCTTGGCTGTAATGGCTGGCCTAATTGCTCATTTCATGCACCTGCCTAACTCTGCCCAGTTTCCTATTACTGCTCATCTTATCTACCTGCTGCTGCTTCTATGTATACAGCTCAGTTCCTGCCATTGTGGCCAGATTATTGATGCTGATGCTCTGTTCTAGTACTAGTTCTAGGGGGCCAGTAGAGAGCGTTTTTAGCGTTCCATAGTGTTCCTGATATCCTGACCTGTTCTGCCTTTAAACCACTGAGCTTGCTTGTTCCCATCTGAACATTCTGCATGAACCATCTATGGACTCCTGGAACCCTCAACCAGCCTGTTCCTGTTCTGATCTGTATCCATGACCTCGCTTGGACTCTTGCATGTTCTCCTGGACTGCAGCATCTGGGACACTATGGGTGGCGCCTGCTGCATCTCGCTGGCAGTCCACTGGCTGGATTCTACTGTACTTTGTTCTATAGAGAAGGACTGAACTGTTAAACCATGTTAGTGACTCATATGGATGATCACCCTCCGTCAGATTATTATGTCCACTAATCTGTGTTTTTCAACCAACAAGAGTCTCCAGTGATGGACGGTGCCCCGCCCTAGCCACTGATATTGCAGATCCACAGCCGGCTTTTGTTATTTCAAATAAACACTTTTTAAATTATCCCTGAGTCTGTCTCGCCTTAAATACTGGGTCCTTCTGTCTTGTTTAGTGACAAGTGGTCTAAGTAAAAAAAAAAAAGTATTTGAAGTTTTCAGAGTTAGTGATAGCTTTTGATAGCCATCTGATCTGTATTTTTACCAGTTTTAAGCCAGCAATAGCATCTATTAACATATTTCAAATAATCTCATACTACCCTTGCAAACAAAGTGTATTGAAATGATGCTTTTTTTCCCATTTAAACTCAACTTCCTGAAGGTACAAAAAGTACCTTGTGAAAGACCGTAGTATCACTTCACCTAAACTAGCTTTAACCACAACCCATATGAGCATCTGAAGAGGAAGCAGGAAGACCTTTTTTATACCTTCCTCTACCAGGTCCAATAGCAGATTTATTCAATAATACAGTATGCTGCAGTAATGCGGTAATTCATGGAAAATAACCTCCAACACATGGACATGCTTTTCCTAAGGCTGATGTTTCTTGATTAGAAATCCATTATAAGTTAGTTTTAATTTTTTAGGGAATCTCAATTTTTGGGTATTCATTAGGTGTTAGCCACAATCATCCAAATGAATTCAATTACATAGTTGAACCATTAAATAAGGGAAAAGAGACTCACACTGTTTAATACCTTTCATCGAAAAAACACACAATGTGCCTTCTGTATCTATAAAGACAAGGTAATGTTAATGCTTAATGTGAAAAGAGAGAACTGAAGCAAGGATGTCAGTGCTAATTTTCAAAAGCTGCCCGAGGTCTTCTATTTTATCCATCCATACATAAGAACTACAAAAATGCCTTTTTTTTTTTTTTTTTAGCATTACAGAGGTGCCCATAAATGTAATATCAATAATTATGCTCATCTAATGGCGACAAAAGTATGTCCTTGCTGTGGTTTCTTTTCTTTGATCTTTTTTGCCTTTTCAGACTATTTCAACCTTCGTGTAAAAAGAGAAAGAATGAAGATTGATAAAGAGGCTGCAGGCATGTTTTACAGAGCAACAGCATAGTAAAATGAGGCATTAAGGCTCAATGTGCAATAGTAACAGCTCGATGGGTAAACCGCAAGAAAAATGAAGGTGCAATTCTCTGTGCAATGATAGATGGGATTCAGATCCTGACTTTTTCACACCCACCTCTAGCTCAGAGATGGAGTGCCTTCTGAACACAGAGAAACCAGAATAATCTGATAAAACTAAAAACAAAGAAAAAATCAACGGTGAGCATAGGATGAAGCACAAAAAAGAACAGAAAGTAAAGTAAGTATGTGGTTATGTCAGTCAGTCAGTAAGGGAGGCAGTTAGAGGGCAGCAACAAGCACCTTCAGCGGATCAGACAAAGCTCATTTGGTGGATTTAAACTTCAGCAAAGTCCTGGTTCTCTCTGATAAAGAGCATCTTATGAAAACAAACAAAAAAAGGATAATTTTTGTTGTTTGCACATCTGCCTTTGGCAGCTTTCTATTAAGATTTATAATGTCTGCTTTGTGCACAGACTCACTCTCTGCTCTTGTGGTAGCTACACCTCTTCAGAGGGATCTTGATGACCTGGTCCCTAAAGCCCACGTAAAGCTCGCTGCGGCTGTGCAGGATCAGCAAGCTCCGTATCGGCTGCCTCTTCCTGGGCGGGAACAACTCGATCTCTTCCAATAGGCAGCTCCCTGTGGACTGGTTGAGAGGAGACAGCACTTTTCTGATAGTGCCATAATCTGGAAGAGAAAGTAGGGGGAAGAGAGGATTATGTCACAAAAGGGGCAAATAATTCACTAGAGAAAAGGTAAAGTAATGAGGAAAAGAGCAAAAGGAAAAAGGATAGATGAGAGTTTGAAGAGGGAAAAAACCCAACAAATAATATATGCTGAATTTACAAAAACTACACTCAACACTCTGTGAACTAAAGAACAATTGCTTCTTGTAAAAGAGGCTGTGAAACAAGGAATTTAAAGAAAAATGGGGCTGGATGCGCAAAGCCCTGTTAAAGCATCAATATGCAGCGCTGTAGACGTAACAAGAGAGCTGATGAGACACCTGAATGCATGAATTTTGGCCTACTTCTCCGTGAGGGAATATTCTACAGTACAAAAATGCTTTGTAGTTGTAAAAGAGAGAGAAAAGTGTGGAAATCTGTGTCACCATGAGTACTTTCTGACCTTTAATTTTGTTTAAGGCAGGCCCAGTGAGACCCACTTTGAGGAAAATTTTCTTTTGGGAGGACTAAAACAAACATAATCCATTATACATGCAGTCCCCTGGGCAAGCCAAAGGTAATTAGGTGTACAGTGGATCTGGAAAAAGATGAAGGGCTAAATGCTAATAGGTAACTTAAAGGCAGAAAAAGTTCAGTTTTGCCTCCAGGAGTGGTCCATTGTGGTCAGTAATGCTGCTGCACTTCATGCAATACAGTATGTAAAATGAGGGCCTTGCACCTTTCAGAATGAAAACTAGATTTACATTTCTTTGTCAAAGTACTCGTACCCTTTGATCTTTATCAGATTTTGCCATACTATAACGTAACTACAAACTTTGTCATTGTCTCACAATGCTTTCTATGATTCAACGTTTATTTATCACACAAAATCCCATAGATATTACTCTCTAGTTTGTGGTTGTATCATCATGGAAAACCTTAAATGGGGGTGAAGTGTGAGAACCTGATTTAAACATTAAAATGTGCTAAATCATGGCTTACATTAACCCTCATGCAGCATGAAATATTTTTGCAAAGCTGTATAAAAAACTGCAGTTAAGGTATTTATTACTCCTCAGTCCTACAGATTTTTTTCGTTTTGCTATAACAATTACATGGTATATTGATACCTTTTTTAGCAGATTTTTTTTTGTACAGTGGAATAAAATGGCCTTCTTGGAAGCTTAAAATATCACATAATGTCCTATTTTCTAATTAAGGAGGTATTAAAGTGCTGCAGTGCGCAGTTTTCTGTCTGCATGTGGAGCCTTTCAGACCTTTTTCATGCATTTAATCTATGATGTGCCAAATTTTCCTGTTGAGTTAACTGCTATTAAAAAGAGGTATATGCTACTATAGTTAGTAACAATTTTCTTTCTGGGGCATGAACCTTTGTAAATGTTTCAGATGCTTTTAATCCATCAAGATTAACACTGAAAAAGAAAAAAAAAAATTCTGCTGATAGGCAGGAATTATTACAGAGGCTGAAGAACAGTTTCACTATTCTGCTCAGCAAGCTGCACGATTACTCGAAAGAATCTTGCCCTTCGACATCTTTGCACTCCCGACTGGAGCTATTAGGTTTTCCCACAATGGCCTCAATCAGCGGGGTGCGTTTAGGCGTTAATAACAGTGTGTGATTAGGTACAAGCCAATGGCCCTGGCAGCGGTTCAGATGTTTTCATTAGCGTCTGGTTAGTGTCTGGGGAACTTGCAGTGTGGGCAGCTCCGTTTCAGTGCTGCATTGATCACGGCAGCGTACAAACAATGAGAGGGGAGTTTTAGCGGGAGATGCCAAGCAGGGATGAAGGGAACTGACACAGACTCTGTGTGAGTTTATGGGTGTGTAGTTGTGTGTTACAGTGAGAGTCACTGTACATGTGCTTGTACTGCATAGAGTATGCAAAATATCCTAAAATAACATCCTAGCTCTTTAGCAGGATGTTGCCATTTCCCAGCGGGCCTTTGTGGTACATTAGCCGAACGAAATGGGTCACTGCCTTTAAAGTTGCGTTCAGCGCACCTGTTTGCTGTCCAAATGTGATTTTACAACAGCTCATCAAATAACGACGTGTATCTAGAGACTTTTTGATTCTGTTTTCAACACTTTGCCAAGTCTAACATCATTAGTGGATAGCATCACCTTGATCAAACGATCTACTAAAAGCAGATGGTACCAAACATACACATTGGACAGAATAAATGTTTAATGGCTCAACATGTGTGTTATTTATCCTTCATTCGTCTCTCTCTAGACACATGCCTGTTGGCTGTTTTATGATGCATACTGATGAGGGTTTATATTGTAGTGAAATACGGTTTACTCGTTCTGCGTTTAAACCTCTATATATATATGAGTGACTGCATAATGATTATGAACACATGGGGAACATGTGTAGGCAAAGAATCTCAAAACCCATAATGTTAAAGTGAAAGCTTTGATGTCTTCGTGATGATGATACAGATTGACTGGTATTGTTCTCCTTCTTGCAGGTCACTTTTTTTCATGTGCTGAATGCTTCTCAAGGGCTTCAAGCTCCTTATAGCTACAGCTATAAAAGTAAAAATCAATCAAACATCGGAAGATGAAGGAAAGTTTTGTTGGTTTTAATACTTGATTTTCCATCCACATATTGTCTCATTACTCATTAGATACATACAGTATCCTCCAATGTATTTTATTGAGATAATAATAACTTACCTAAATAAACATAATTATTTCAACTATTTCCCCAGCTTCTTATTTTTTAGATGAACTATTTTACTGTAGGTATTTCTGTTTGTTAGAAGCAGGAATCATGTTTACAATATGTATAAAATACTCTATTACAGTGCAGTATTTTACTGTTTATATTTTAACTCTTAAATACTATGTTATTCTTAAACATTTGTGTGGCCGTTTTTTTTTTCTATAATATTTTTGCTGCTGTAAACACCAGAATTTCTTCATTATGGGCCAAAAATGCGATTTTCTATTGTATTCTACTCTATTTTTTTGGGGGATGTGTGGGGCCACAAAACTTCTATTACTATTAAAACAGATTTAGTAAGATTTTTTTTTTTTGTAATATGTACGGCATACAATGTCCAATTTCAGATTTAAGAACCAGTGTATTTTCTATTTTTTTGACAGAGGAACCATAACAAAGTTAAAAATGTATAAAGAAAAACAATTTAATACATTAAACTACAGCTAATGGATGAAACCACACAGAAAATAGCAGGCTTCTATGATGTTTTCTAATTGTTTTTACCAACACTTCCCTCTAAAGTAAATTTCCTTTATTTATTGCCAATGAGAATAAAACAAAAAATCAGAAGTGCTTGAAATATTCAGAAAATTACTTAAAAAAACAAAACAAAAAAACAGGAATCTGTGAACAATAAGTAGAAAAATGCACATGTTTTATTTCTAATCTTTAATAGTAAAAAAGCAAAAAATAAATAAATAAATAAATTACTGTGCCAGTTAGGAGTGTGGAAAAAAAAGAAAAATTGATTTTGTCGATATGTTGTGATTTTTGGGTGCCCGATATAATATTGATTTTTCTTTTCCTAATATCGCTTTAAACAAAACAAAACAATTTACCTAAAACAATATGGGAAAATTGGCTACCTCTGTAACGCCCCACTGGCATATAGCTGTGCTTTTGCCGTGCACCGCTGTGCCATACAGTATCTGTAGTTAAGGCACTCACAGTGGAAGACATGGACTAACTCAAACTCCAAACAACATGGAAACCAAAATAATGAAATTATGAATACCTTCTTATGAAAATATACTGCACTTGTTTTTTGATCTATTTTGATAGCTAGGAAAAACATTACAATATACAGTGATATTGCAATATCGTGATAATATAATATCGTGACCCAATTTTGGAGACACAACACCCATGCCAATACTAACCCCTAGTGCCAATGATAAAACCTTGTCATATTGATCTTTTTTTACTATAGAAACATTTTTACCAGAAAGTTCTATGTTACTTACCAGTGGCCAAATAAATGATGTGGAAAAGTGTGTCTTTCCCTTGCACCACATCAACTGCAATATGACTGAAGCGGACATTGTCTTCCATGAAATAAGGAACAGGAACCACAGGCTGGACCACCTCGTGCATCAGTAGAAACTTCTGTGCGTCCTGCAGGTTTCGTTGAGTTAGGTTCACATAAGAGCCAGAGTTGATGGTGCCGCACTGCAGATGTAGAAAAAGTATGAGAAAAGAGGAAATTAGACTTCATAATATCGATAAAAGCCTGAGCTTTTAAGGATTGCAGGTTAATGAGCTTAAGGTTTTTTGTTAAGAAATAAACCCTGAGACGGAAATGGGGGATTGAATGATTAAAGGAACAAGGATTTCAGGTCGATTGCCGCCTCTTTGAGTTGGTTTTCTTTCCTTCCGACCTAAAGGCTTTGTAGTCACAGAGGTTGATGGAAAGAGACTGAAGGAATGTTTCACTGAGTGGGTAGTTATCTCTTTTATTAGATTTCTAGCTCATATGCATACATATTGCTGTAAGGTTTTATTGGTACTTGGGTAATAATATTTCCTGATTGTGTCATTTCTCAGCTTAAAAATATTAACTTTTCAAAGGCTTTTGCGACTTCATGGTTTTCATTTTCAGTATGTAACCATTAAAGGCATGAAAAAAATCTTCACTAGCAGATGCAAAAAATCTGTAGTCACATGTCTAAGTATGATGAAATGTTTCTGATTATATTATGTCACCCTACAAAAAAGTATTAATTTGAATTGAAATAAAGCAAGATTCATGTCACAAAGTTACAATTTGGTATACTTAATATTTTAGACACTTTCAATGTTTTATTTCTATTTTATTTCATTACTCTCTGATATAGAGTTTTAAAAAGGAATCAAAGTAGAGCTCATTACTCATTTCATAGCCCTGCTTCACAAAGAAGTTAATGATTATGTTCAGTTACTTTTAAAGACTGACATTTAATTTGTAATAGCTTCAAAGCAAGGTTTTATTGCCTTGACCAACTGTAGGAATAATAACGCACTAAAAGCTAACAAGCGCAAGATATGTAAAAAGTCTTTTTACCGGAGATTAACTTTTTTCAGGGGCACTGGATTATGTACACAAGTCACAAAATAAAATAATGTTGGTTTAAATTATGTGTTTCTCAGATTTATCTATTCATACTGTTCTCAAAATACTGCTTAAACCAAATGCTCTGCCAACGTATTGATATCCCATTAGCCTTTGCACATTTGGTCACATTACAACCATAAACTTGCTCTGTTTTAATGTTATTAGATATTAACAATGAGGGCTTTTTATTATTATGCTTAGTGATATTTTCAGTTTAGTCTATAATCCATAAATGGAAAGGACTGGAAAGACGGAAATTATACAGAGAAGCAACAAATATGACCATTGGGACACTCTTCAACTAATTCATACTCTCTTAACAAAGTCGGCCTAAGAAGATTGCAGTTTTTTACTGCCCATGTAAGAGACATACAAAATGCGTTTGCAATATGCGTCAGAATACTCATGCCGCATGGTTATTTTTCCATTCTGCAACATAATGGTATGACAGTAATGGGGATCCTGGTAAGGTTTGATGGGAATATTGATAGAGCTAAATAAAGGGTAATGCAAGAAGAAAATCTGCTAAAGGTGGAATTGAGTATTAGCTTTACCAAACAATTAGCTACAACTAAAGGATCTACCTATTCATGGACCAGTCAATGCCCAGGACGACGTTCAAACTAGAACCTGTGGCAAGACTTGGAAAATGCTGTTCACAGATCATTTTCATCTCAATTTTGCAAGGAATATTTACAATAATTTTCTCTCTGTAGGAGTAAAGTCCACAGAGTCATACACCACAAGATTTGCAGCATTTTCCAGGAAAAGAGTTGATGCCAGGATGGTTAATATAGTTAAACGCAACACTTTTAGATTAATATTTAGATATAAAAGACATTTTTTAAATAGCTTTCTTTCCATTTCATTTTCATGAAATGCTTTATGTAGTTTGTAGTGTAAATATCCCCAAATTAAATAATAGATGTATTTCGTATTATGATTTATCTGTTTTGAACTCTTTCCTATTGAAGTTGGGATGGAAAAAATATAGGACAAAGCCAACAGATCTAAAGCTGCTGCCTGCTGTTTTAATGATGGTATTTGATTGTGCATCTGCTTCAGGGTTTCAGATGCACCTCCATTTCTTTGCAGAAACTGGACCCTGGCAGATGATTCCTTCCCGGCAGAAAACCTTTAAACGTAGCATTAAGGACATCTTATGCAGGTTACCACTTGACCTTTATCAGGCAGATGTCAAACAGGAAGGGATTTCCCAGGCTAGTGATCAGATTAGTGTTCAAGCAAAATCAGGAGGTGGGAAATTGCAACCCTCATTCAGTCGGACATTCACCACGTTTCTAGGGTCTCAAGTAAACAGCCTCAGGTGATGAACAATAAGTCAAATGTTCAATACTGCACTTTTAAAGTTTTGTTTTGTAGTCTTTTTTAGTGTTGTTTGCATGGATGTTAAAGCGCGTGGATGACTGGATTTTCCACCAGAAAATGAGAAGGTATCTGACTCTGGCCTCTGAGGCTCTATCACATATGTGGATGCTCTGTAAAATTAATGTTACAAGCAAAGTCAAGGTGAGGGACACAACCATCATTTGGCCGAGGGCCCATCCAACACTCAGCTGTCTGCCCCTCTCATCATCAGGCCAAAGTGCTCTGCCAGGATGACATAAGTGACACTCAGATGCACAGTTGCTTTACAGCATGTTTTTGTAAAATGGACATGTGTTCAAAACATCTTCCTTGTATCATGGCATGGTATTTTTGACCCTGAGCTTTATGAGTAACTGTTTAACACTTGGCTGCAAACCTTCAAACAAACCTCCAGATGTTTTATTTGGGATTTTAGGGTATAGCCTAAGACACCTCGAGCTGTATATCTAGAGGTATTTTTCCTGCTTAAAGTTTACTTCCATTTAAGTCTGAAGTTTTTTGCAGCCTCTATCAGGGTTTAATTCAGCTCTATCCATTTTCTCACCACCTCTGCTAGCCTCCCTGTCCCCAGTTGGAAACGTAACACCAATTAAGCACCATACTGCATGCTTGGGGCGGTGCATTTAGATGGACTTATATGGTTCATTTCTCAAAGTTTTCAACAATTTCTTCTTGCCTCTCTTCCAAAAATACATATTCAGGCATATTGTTAAGTAAATTAACATTTTTGATGAGAGTGGCTGGAAGGGGGTTAATTACAATTTTGTTTAATTCAGTTTTCCTCTGTGTCTTGGTTAAGTTAATTATAGGTTTGTCTATTTTTTTTCTCAGTGGCAAAGGAAGTTTGAGTAATTTTTAGTAAGAAAAACTGTCTTTGTTATGGTGGCTCAAACGTTCTATAACCACGTTTTAATTAGTTTTAAAAGAGAGGATGAAAAACATGGTGTAAAATAAACATCTTAAATTCCTACCTTTCTCTTAATTTCTCATCTTAGTTCTTTATTTCATCTAGACCAGCCAGAAGGCAGAATATTGGAAACTGGTTCTATTTGACTTTATTCAGGGGTAAAGAAGGAGGAAATGAACAGGACACAAGAGTTCTTTTGATTTCTATTTTGCAAAAAAGCTGCATCCATGTATGATTTTCCTTCCAGTTTTAATTCTACTTTGTCTTAGTCTATCCTATAACGTACGTTAAGATTTTGCTTGTAAGGTGACAAAACACATTAAAAAAAGATAGATTCTGAACACTTATCTCAGGCATTGTATAACATTACCTCAGTGTGAATAGAATAGCATGAAAACTGCTGGTCTAATTAATTCAAATGACAAAAAAATAATTTGCTTTTGGCTGTTAGTCAAACTTAACAGATGCTCCTCTTTGCATGGATGGACAAAGACCATATTCTACAAAAATCTGTTATAGAGTGACATAAAACCAATACAATACATTCTGTGCAGTAGGTGGTATTTGACTTTAATGCCCAATGAACATGACTCATTGTCTGAACAAACCATGGTGGCTCAATTGAGTGGAGGGATTTCCAGAGACTCAGAGTTAGGCTCTGAATCAAAGAGTGTGTCTGTACTTGTATATGTTACCTATTTAGAACAATTTTCGGTATATTTACTAACCTTTTAAGGACCAACTGACTTTATGGGGACCAAAGCCTGGTCCTAATGTGGTGAACCCCAATTCCTAATGTTAGGTAGACAGTTTAAAATATGGTGTGAATTAACTTTAGGTTAAGGTTACGTTTACCGTATCTTAACTTAGGTAGTGTAGGGAATATGTTGGTAATGGTTAGGGTAATAGGTTTGGGTTAGGATATAGAAATGAATGTAAGTTACCCGGTAGTGAAAAGTCCCCATAAAACATGGAAACACAACATGCCTGTGTGCATGTGTGTGTGTATCCTAGCTTGAAGAGGAGCTATAAATCTTGTGGTTGTAAATCTTTTCCCCCAACATTGACAAATACTTGATGAAGATGTCACTGAAAACTAGATAAAGTGAGCCTTACTCCATCAGCAAGGTGCAACCATTGTACCCAAGCTTAATTTGAGAAGATAGGGGAAGAGGTGTGAAACAGATACACCTGTATGCCTGAGACACAGAGAAAATGATTGCGAAGGACAAAATCCTCCCCAGTGATATTTCTGTAGCACATTGAAGAGCAGATAAGAAAAAAAATAATTATTATTGATAATTATAGCTAAAATATTTAGCTGCTGACAGGCAGAAAAGTGAATGCATGCTGGCAGATAATTGTGTTTAATGTAACAGCTTTATTGGTGAGTTGGCATGTACATATTAAGCATACCATCATTAAGCATCTCTTGCATGTTTTGGCTTGGCGGCAACATGATGAAAACTTATGATGGCACATGCCTGTGATGCAAGTATCACCCACTGGTGGAAACCCTAACAGCAAATTCGATTCCTCACAGAGAACTAGGTGGATTAGCTTCGCCACTTTCTGCTAAGCCGGCAAAAAACCGAGTGCCAATTGTCTGCCAAAAATGCATTTCCTTTGCATCATCACTGCCACCTAAAAGGATAATAAGAGGCTTCACCAAACCCCTTGGGGTTTTAGTATGCAACAAAAACATAAAATCTTGCCTATGCAAAATAAGTCAAGTTTATTAAGAACGACAACTCCAATACATATCTTCAAGGAATGAATGACCTATACAAGAGTTTATAATGAGCAGGCATAATGTGTGCAATCTTGAGAGAGGAGATTCTTAATTGAAAATTAGATGTTATATGAAGAGCTTCCTCTGAGGTGAATGAGTGAACAACACTTTTTCATCATTATGTGAGCAAAAAATGCCTCTTCTGAAAGATTGATTGTGTATTTATTCCAATCACATCAAATGTGAGTATGTACTGTAGTTGTCTTTGGTTCAGTATTCTGATTCACACTGTAATATCGCTAACTTGGTGTTTAAATACAGATCTCAAGAGGGAGGATTTATTTCCTTGTAATACAAAGAGTGCTTTTCACTTTGTGCAGAAATGCAAAATCATATAAAGATAAAGAAAATCACTACTAAAAACTGAAAGTACACATGAAACTTATATTAACCTTTTTGGTGTTGGTTGTCTATCCATTAACGTCCAACATATTTTACTTAAAACTTTTACAAATGTAAAAACAAAATGTGCACAAATACTAGAAAGGTAAAACTGAATGTTTTTTTCAATATGAAAACAAAATTGCTCATTTTTTCAGCTGTGACATTGTAGTAATGATATTAATGTATGCCGAAAATACAATGTATTTATGTTTGTTTAAGACTGAGAAATCATATTAATAATATATTTTCACTGTACTTCCAAAATGAAAACAATATTTTTTGGTAAGTGTACTTAAACAGTTGTTGGAAAGGCAATGATTTTTTTTTTTTGTTCTCAACAATCATTTGCAATTTAAATTTTTAAATAATAGATTAAATATATTTAGGTATATGTCAGTTTTTTTGCAGTTGTAATAATTAATAATAACAATATATCAAAAAACAAAATATGAAACACTACACATCTTATATCAGCTAGTGAATGAATAGATAAATGACTGATTGTAATGTGGAGTGCCATGGAGTCCTTCAAATTGATAAAGAGATAAACAAGTCCAGACCTTTATCCTTTACACCATAAGTATATAACATTTCTATTGTTTTATTCTCCTCATAGTCGTCACAATTTCCTTTATTATAGTTTAGTAAAAGTGAAGAATTAGGTCATCCGAGTTTAAATATGATCCTTTTATTAATCTTTCTTCTCTCCTGCTCCTTCAACTCCTACTGTCTTTTTGATCCTATAAACCATTTTACTTTTCTGCTTCTAATACCCATGTACAGCAGTTTGAACTATTTTTCTTCTGAAATATGCTGTATAAAGTTGTCTTACTTGCCTTCTTCTGTTAGCTTACCTTCTCTGCTCTCTTTCTTCAATATTTGATTGATGATACTCTTTCTCTTTGATCATTTATAGGTACCGTAGTCCTTTAGTTAGGTTGATTATAACTCTGTGTTACATAGCACCAGGAGTTGAAAGTAACTAGTTACATTTACTCACATTACTGTGATTAAATACAGTTTTATTGTACTCTTTAAAAGTAGTTGACAATAGGTGAACGTTTACTTGATTTGGGTATGTAATAGAAGTTTTCACCCAGTTACATCTAAAGTATATTTCTTATTGAGTGTTAATAATAACTAAGTGAAAATTAAGTGGGATTAGTAATCAGATCCTAACATGGATAGAGGCATCAGTCGGCCTCTGGTGGGTTAACAAAAATTTTTATTTTTACTTAGTTAAACTGGTCTGTAAAGTTGTTTTGCAATATAAATATGGTTTGCAAAAAGAGATTTCACTGTCTGCATAGACAAACTTTAGAATGAGCCCACAAAAGCAATTGGACGTACACTGTAAGTAAAAAGCAATTTAAAGTTTTGTAAGAAACATTGAATTTTCATTACAGTGGTGAAAGACATGCTAATGTCTTTTTGTCTTAATGTCACTGCAAGTAATCTTAAACTAAAACTAGCATTTAAGCATGAAAAAAATGCATATTTAATTACTGCATGTAGCAGTCAATAAGTGGACAGTATCTGATTCATACATCCATGACCTTATAAATATGCTATTGTAGCAAATAAATGTAACTAATGTCAGTCTTTTTTCTGTTGGTTGTGATTAGAGTTTATGCTGCTCAAAACAGAGGATTAAGATCTCAGTTTGGAGTCTCTTTTTAGCTAGGAGTGATAGTGGATATTGGAAAAAGCAAGGGATGAAGATTAGAACTAGCAGGCAGCGGCAATTAGACCAAATTTACCAGGGGGGCAGGGAGGGGCCGGCGTTTTTTTTCCTTATTGAGGTATAAAGTAAAGGAATAACATACAAACAAGTCCAAAAAACCCTCCAAAAATCAAAAACAGGACAAGATGGCATCATTAATGATGCCTTCATGTGGCATCATTAATGGTAAATACCAAAAGCCGACATGAAAATTGCACATGAACACCCACTCACATGTCATAATTTCCACTTAAAAGCTGGGAAAATTCTATTATACCTGAGTTAACGAGATGCGATAAACTTTGAATTTTCAACATGGCGGAAAGAAGATAAACTACAGTATTCTGTATTGTGAATACTGCATCGTTAAGCGTTTCTCCTGTTGTGTTTGTAGCCCACACTGTGACTTTTCAGAAATATATCCCCATTTAAACTTGGGTCATTTTTTTTAAAATGACTGTTATTGCTTGATTTTATCAGCAGTAAGTCGATGCATTTGATGAATCATCTTCTTCATGTAGCAGACTAATTAGGAAGTCTATTACTGTCTTGCCAAACTAGCAGGTCAGGATAATCTTTGCATCCAGCATGTTTCTCTTCTCTACCACAATGAAAGCACGTGAACACAATGTCCTGGTAATTTCCACTTTACAAGTGGAAATGGTTCTTTACTAGAATTAGTGTCTTGTAAGTAAACTTGTTAACATGGTTTATTTTTGTGCTGCATTTTCTTTTTTCTTTCCAAACTGAGAAATGTTTGCCTCTCCAACAAATATCTATGCCTTTCTTTTGTTTAAAAAGTAACAAATGAACTTTTATTTACAGGTGTCTGCAAATGTAGTTAGGAAATGCCTAGGCAACTTTTGGATTAACTGCACACACCAAGACCACATTACTTGCTCCTCCACTCCTCCACTCCTCAGTGTGAACTATCAGTGCTTTCACACTGATTGAAATTAAACCACATTGTATTTGGAAGAACTTTTATCTTGTGAGGCTTTCCTCTTTTTCTCATAAACTTGTAAGAGTTTACTTAATGCAACTCGTAGCCATTTCCAAATACTCCTTGAGAGCAGTTGAGCTACATAAAATCAATGGCTAAAACTGAAGCTCACTGGTAATCTAAACAGTAAATGTTTGCATGCAGAGCGAGAGCAAACTAGCAACAAATGAGCACGGAGAATGACTGTAGGTGAAGATGGCTCAGAGACTGGTACGTGGGACGACCAGCTGACAGCAGCTCGTCTGTTTTGCCTTTAAAGTTCCATTTTAATGAGGTACTTTTTACTTCTACTGTATTTCAGTAAAATTTTACACCAATTTTTTTTTTTTACACTCTTTGTCTGCAGAGCTTTAACTACTGCACAGGATGAATTTGTTGCTGGGACATGTCAGTCATCTGGAGAAGCACCTGGAGGAACCAAACAAATTTCAGGGGAGTCCAATACCCACACTCCCCTCTTTCCAGCTCCTACCCTGCCTCTTTCACCTTTTTTAGACTAAATATTTACCATTTTTAGGATAGGTATCAACAGAACATCTAAAATTCAATTCCAAGGGCTTATTGAGATATAATTTCATTTTAACTATTGTTAGCAGTAGCACTAAATACAACATTGGATGTTACTTTAACAGCAAGGTTTTATGGCTCTGTAAAAATAGTATAGTATATTTTTCAAAGTTGTGCAAAGCAAAGAATCTCTTACAGTAGCTGAACATCCCTTAAGGGGAGAAAAGTTTATAACTTTACCTGAAAGTTTGGGTTGGGGTTTGGGTAGGGCAGCCAAGCTGATCGTGAACTTTCCTGGTACTTGAAGGGTCCATTAAAAACTTGGGATATGGCACTGAGATTGAAGGCACACACTGCAGATGCAGCAATGCTGTTTCTGATAGAGGAAAAAGTGTGGTTAGCCTCACAAAAATGGAAGATAATGACATAACAGCAAAATAAAAAAAACTAGGATTAATATGTTTAAATTCACACAAAAAATATTCAACGTACCACGATAATAGATTACATCTGTATGTGTTTGTTACGATTACCTCCAAATTTTTGCACTAACTATAAAATTCAAGTTGCAAACAGACAAACACTGTTTGTGACTGTCATTATTAGAGTATAAATCCAGCAGCAGGGCTCAATTAAACTTCACGGCTTTTCTGATTGATAGTATAGATCTCAGAGCTAATATATAGCTTTGACTTTTTAAGCTGTCAGTTACAACAAGTAGCAGTTGTCTCCCTTAGAAGAGAAAGTAAAGAATGAGAGTATTAACACTCGACTCGAACTGCAAGACTTTGGGAATGTGAATTATTATCGGTTGGAGCTGTTCATTAAGCTCTGTGCCTGTAGGGGGAAATGTTTCCAATACCCTTCAAAAGGTTTTTTTCCCCCTCTCAGTTATATGAAGGCAATGACCATAAAGAATTGATTACTCAGCTTTAGTGATGGTCTGTGTGCAAGTGACTGTAATACAGTTTAGATAATAGAAAATAAGAAGAAAAAGATGGTAAAACAGGGGAGTAACACTAATAGGAGTTTAGATTGTAAACTAGACACATCCCATCAATCATTAGAACTGAAAAGCTCTAAAATAAAACAGGAAAGGTCCTTAAACCAGCAAAAGGGTGATCAGTTGCATTGTATTAAACACTTGAGCAGATGTCACAGATGTCATATATTAATAATTGTTTAATAACTACAAATGAAGAAATCAGTACAGTATTGTATGTATGTAGTAGAAGGGTATACAACTCATATGCTCTACATGTAAATGTTGAAATGTTATTTAGAGATGCTGGAGGAAAAATTATTTTTTCTTCTCTGACAGCGAATCAGGATAATTTACTCTTCAACAGAAAAAACCTTTGTTTGCAGAATCAGGGAAAAATGAAAGAGATTTTGAAAGAAAGTTGTATAGTTTATGTGCTTAATCCCCAAAAACTGAACCCATGAAAAAAAATAAAAATAAACAATGTTTTGTCACCACTGTTGGCTGATTGTTGGTATTTTGACAATATTGGTAGCTGTGCTTTGTGTGATAGTTTGAGGCAGTGGCGGTTGGTCAATAGAGGGCACTAGGGTGCTGCCCCACCCACCCAATGACCTTGATTAACCTCTTAATATCCACCTCATTTTGTGAAATTCTCGCCTATTTTGCATACGCAAATGGAAAAGCAAATAACTTAGGAACTGTGAGCCCAAATTACATGCGTGATACATTATTTGAAAGCTAAAACCTTCTAGATTCTGAATATATACATGAAAATTGGGTGAGTAAAACACCCAAGCTACATCAAGCCCAAGCTGCATCAGTTCAAACAAGACTCAAAGTTGTTTGTTTTTTTTGTTCTCGAAAATAATAGGTCTTTTTTGAACAGCAGTTATAAAGACATGCTTGATTGTTGTGGCTGCTTTGTCATGGTACATTTTGAAATGCTGCTATATCTGTGTTAATTCTGCTTTGGTGTTCACTATGTTCATAAAATGAACTAGGTGGTGGAATTGTGGAGAATCTAAGCTTTCCAACAATGTCTGACATGTCTATATTGGTAAACATTTTACCAGTGTAATTTAATGTAAAGTTATTTGTAAACGCTTTAAAACGGGTGGACGGCTACTAAGTGGGTTTAAAAAAAACAAAAAATAAATTCTAAAATTAAATATTTCGAAATATATTAAATCTGTTTTTGGATGTGCAAGATAAATATTGAATCTTTAATGACGAGTAAAGCTATTTAGTTCTTCCTTTGGTTTCGTATTTTTTGGCCTTTAACTCTCATTAAAAGCTGTACATGTGCAGTAGCTCCTCTGCAATGCAAAAGGGTAGGAGAGCTCAGGGCGCATGAGACCTGCGTCCCCAGCGCTCATCCTCAGCTCGCTTCCCCTCTCATGAGTCCAAAGACAGATGGGACAGTACTCTTGGGTTTTTCCATGAACTGGTTTAGCTACAAGGCTTGGCTGAAAGCATGCAGAGAGGCTAATGCTTTATTCTGCTTTCCCTGCATCCTTTTTAAAACATCAGATCAAACCGATCATGGATAAAGACAGGTAGGACTGATAAAGCACTTTTAGAAAAGGCAAAGAAGAATGAACGATCTGGGATTCCGATGGAAAATAATATAATATAGTGTAAGTTTTCTAGGTGTTTGTTAATTTGCATAGTTGCTCTTAAATGAACACATTCTAAGAAAATAAATAGTTTTTATATATTAAAAAATGTAATGCTGACTAATAGCTTCTCCAATATTAAAACCTGTACATTGTTTTATTAGATTTGTGACAGCACATTTGACCATGCAAAACATAGAGTTGCCGTGAGATTTGCCATGCAAAACACAAGGCAGAAAGTTTACTTCCTTCAGAAAGTAAACCTGTACATTAAAATTATGTTTTTGTTTTTATAAAGTGTTTTTATAATTTTTTTGTTGTTGGCATTCATATAAATATACTGGTGCGATATCCTAATATACATACATATACATACATTTGTTGTTGGTTTTTGGCATATGTCTTAATTGAATTTATAGCCCCCCTTGGAGAAAAAATCCACAAGCCTGCACCGGTGTGAGGTACAGTAGTCCAGAGTGTAACAAGGGTTTCAGGTTTACCCTGAGCTGCAGGACTGAAAATATTCCCCTTAATCTTTTTCACTTAACATTACTTACACATTAGTTGTAAAAATCCCATAGAGCAGCTCAAGCTCTGGCAGGTAGAAGGTCCCCTGCAGCTCGTTGTAATTGAAGGGGATTTCTCCGGGTCTGGAGCAGTTCAGCCTGGCTTTCATAAAGGTGGTCCACGTGTCTTCCAGTAGGAAGCGTCCACCAATGTCATTTTTGCAGACGCGGCCGGCTCGGGAAAACACAGTCCTTCCACAGTCATGCTCCACTGCATTTTCTCGGAAGAAGAAGTAAGTGAAGTTGCCGATGTCATAAGAGGAGACGAAATTTGGCTCTGTCGAAAAAGAGGTGACAAAAATGAAAAGGAGTGGGGAAAAAAAAAACAACCAAGAAAGAAAGCTCGATGAAAATCAGAAAAAAAAGGAAGTGGAGACAGATGAAAAAAAAACAAAATACAGACAGAAAAATATTTAAGGCTGTGGGAGTTGGAAGGAGTAGGATACTGATAGACTCCGCATTATGACTGATTGATTTAGCGAATGTGTGTGATTGTGTGTGGGCCACACAACAGCAGGTGATCAGGATTAATAACTACAGGCTATGTTATTAATGGCTTTGTTTTGTAATAAGAAAGCTCATTTTTCACTCCCCAAACCTAAAGGTTAGACTGAGAAATGACCAAAACAGGTGGAGGGTAATAGCTCTTACCCTATCTAAAACATGCAACCCCCATGACACTGCTACAGCTTAGGCGTTTATCTCTATGTATGACATTATTGGATCTAAACCACACACTTTATTCTCTCTAACGGTGATTTAATTCAGCTTTAAAGGAAAATGTCCCCCCCTTTTTTGTCCCTTCATCTCAATTCTGCCCTTTTCTTCTCTGCACCTTCAGAGGGCAGTGCAGAGGGAAGAAAATCAATTCTCCATAAAATTAGTTATTAAGCCTTCTCCCAGAAGGTGGCTGCCAAGCAAGCTATGAGGTAGTTTTAAATTTGTTTTTTCAATTTACCTTAAATGTGAATCAGGAAAAAAAGTCAGTCTCGGACAAGATACTGATTGACCTGCCCCTGTGTACGATGCACTTCTTAAGCTATTTGAAGTTCTCCAATCTGCTCTGCAGTGTCTTTGAGCTTTCAGGGGAAAAGAAACAGCATTGATTTTCCTGGACTTCAAACTAAAGTTCTCCTCAAAGATAGGGTAAGGTCTCTATTTTTTAAACCACACAGAAAGAAGCTCTTCAAACTATTTGTTTTACCAATAAAAGGCTAATTAACATAAGTGGTTTGTTGCAAAACATAATGAACATCTAAAAGTCCAATTAAACACAATGCCCAACAGATGCAGTGCAAATATTAAAACAATTCAAAATAGTTTCCACATGAATTCGCAGAGAGTAAAAAAGGTTTCTGTTCTTTGCTGCTTACCATTAAGCCATTTTGAGTTGTACTGTGCGGTGCGTAAGGGCGGCAGTCCGCCAAGGCTGCGGTAGATGGCCGGGTCTCGGCCAGAAAAGTCCATAGCGGTAGCGGCATAGAGCTCCCCACTAGACGTGATTAGGGCGGTGGAGTTATGCAGAGGGTTGTAGGGACATCGGGCCATTCCGCTGATCTGATCATGGATCTCTGTTAGGTTAGTCAGCTGTAACAGAGAGAAAAGTCAAGTTAAAACTGGAAGATCAACAAGAGGTCTTTCAGATAAGAAATAAAACAAATACTGATAAGACTTAACTGTCTCTGTGTGGGAGTAGAGTGTATTTGTGTTGTTGGTAGCATGAAAACAATGTCATCCTCTTTTATTGGTACAGTGGATTAATTAATTCCTTGAAATTAAGTTATATTGTACTGAAGTGTTTTAGAGTTGCCATTTGTATCTCTGCTTCCGTCTCCTTGAACCCCAGTCTGCCCCGGCAGATGGCCGCTCACACTGAGTCTGGTTCTGCTAGAGGTTTCTTCCTGTTAAAAGGGAGTTTTTTTCTCTACTGTCGCTACAATCATGCTTAGTGTGAGGCATTGCCTTCAAGTCAACGAGTCGATGCAATCAACTGGTGTTCCTTACATAGAAAACTGTGAATCAATTTCACTGTATGATCTGGTGAACTGTAAAGTACGTTGACATGGCTTGTGTTGTGAATTGGCGCTATAGAAATAAACTGAATTGAATTGAAGCAATCTTACACAATAATTTAAAAAACGCTGCATTTACTTTCATTACAATCAGCCATCTTAAGAAATTAATATTTTTTATATCAGCTTTAAAAGACCCACAGTAATAGTAACCTTACTGTTAAGACATTGTACAACATTCTGACGGCTTAAAAAGGGTGTTTTCCTCTCCACTGTCACTACAATCATGCTTGGTGTGTGGGATTGCATAGTTTCAATCAATTTAAATACATGATCTGGTTGAATTGTCTCTGTAAAGTGCCTTGAGATGACACGTGTTGTGAATTGGCACTATATGAATAAACTTAACTGAATTGAACATTTTAATGCATAGAAGAAAACAATCTTTTACCAAGTTTTGTTTCTTGATTATTCATGATCTTGGATTATCTATGCTGTCACTTTTTTCTTCTCATTCCACAGACTTTCTGTAGGTTTTAGGCTGGTAAACTGTGGTATTCATAGGTGAACCTGGAGATTTTCTCTAAGTTGTGTGATTGGTGGGGATTTGGGTGGCCGTTGCTAGGTAGAAAAAAAGCGGATATGATTTTCTCTTTTTCTTCAGGTGCAGTAATTTGTACAGTAAACTGTTATGTTTTGAATAGTTTTAAAGCTCAGCTAGCTGAGGGATTACAAAAATCTGATAATTGTATCATATGTCTTCAAAGCAACATAAAGCATCTTCTTTTCCTCTTCCTTCATTAATTCGAAAAATACCCTCTCTTCCATAGATCTGCTGCTTTTTTTTCTTATGCAGGTGTTATGTAAGCTACAGGAGATGGAGTTTTCGAGGAATTTGCTTCACTTTTTGTGAAACGTACGTGAATACAATACAAACCTTTCTTGTTTTTGCCACCATGCGAACAAAAACAAATTCAAGCTTAAGCAAGTTGAACTGGTAATATGTTTTGGATGCCAATAATACAAAACTCAATGTTTTCTTGCAGATTCCAACAGAATTTTTATTCAAAATAACCTGCTATTCATAATCCATGATGCCACACAAGTTTTCCAAAAATCTTTGTCAATCATGCAATGAATATTAAATATTCAAAGTGGACATATGGTGCTTTTCCACATATTTATTCTTCTGTTAACATTATATCTAAAACTTTATAGCTGTCATCAAAGAGATTATGGATGTGCTGCAAAATTGATCAATACCATTGCTAATGGTAGGGCATTGTATTGTGACTAGTGTAGCTCCTGTCTCAGCAAAAAAAAAGCAAAGAATATCAAGAGAATCAGTGAAATGGCTGAACTTCTCCATTTACATGCTACAATTTATCAAAAGCTGCACATACCACCTTTACCTTCAGTGGCATCTAATTTTGAACATTAAAATGTACATAAATGTAGATTAAAAATATTCCCTTTAATGGGAATATTTTTAAACTACGTAGAAACTATTATCACCCTGACTTGGTGAGCAAAACTTTTAAAAGTGAGTTTAGAGACTTTTTTTTAAACCAATACCATACTACGTGATGGTTATTGTGGTTCTTCAAACCTGGGATCATGACCAGCCCTGTTACTTTTTGTTGTTTTGAATTTGTACATTTTTGTTTTGACTGCAGATATGAGGAAAAACTAGTGAAATTACCATAATTATTAATTAGTATGCTATTTATGTCACAGGGGCGCTCTGATTAATGTAAAAACAAAAAACCTGTATGGTTATTATTTTTCAGAAATTGTGAAGGGGGTTAGTAACTATGAATAGTTACTTCTTATGTTGGAATTTGCAGGAATGTACTCCATTTGCAGCCTGGATTTTTTAAATGCATAAGCATGCAGTTCTGCTAATACAATAAAAGATAAATTATCTTATGGTGTTTTTCACATCATTATTCTGGCTACCAATAATTGTCGATGGTGCTGCTTCACACCAGATATGGGACTAAATTAAGTTTATTTCAAAGAGTGATGTAGGACATCAGCAGAGAAATATAGGACAAAGCATCAAAGGGCAGCATTAAAATGCAAACTAAAGAAGTCTGCAGCTGTGTTGTTTGTTCCTGCCAATATGCAAATAGTACCGACTGCAAAAATACCTCATTTCATTACATTTAGCTTTGTTTACATCTACTGTGAAGCACACAACAATATGTACAACCACAGCCTTCAGAAGCAAACGGCGTAATTAGAGAGCGCATTTAGAATAATTGGCATCGTAAAACACACAAACACAGCAGCTGCTTTTTGGTCTAATGGTAAGAAACCACCTGTTCCGGACCAACGAAATTCATGTTGGCTGAAGTGCTTTGATGGTCTGGTTTCCGGTGTCTTGACAATACAACCGGCAGTTCTTCAGCGTGGCATATTACTTCATGACTGTTTTGAGTTGCTACTTTAAGCAACAAAAAGGCTTGAAGTAAGATAAAATGCTCTGCTTCATATTGTCATTGAATATAAAGCAAAATCCAAGCCTCTGGTTTTAAAAATACTTTACAGCCTGACCTCTGGTTAGCCCTGATATTCTCCTCTAGTTCCTGAAGAACTATAGCACATGGTGCAGTGAATAAGCCCTGAAAATAAAACGGAAAATTGCAATGTTTAAATCTAAGATGCAATTATATTTTATGGTGAAAAGGCAAATAGCATACAGGGATTATCTCATGGCAAACAGGCTTTCCAAGTTTGTCTATGTTCCAAGGGCAAATGGGTGATGCAAGACTTTTCTAATCTCAGGTTTAGATGTGGCAATTAAGTAACTTTTGTGCAACTATTTTTCCATCAGTCAGCAATGTTCACTTCTTGACTCCTCACATTGGTTATAGATCTTGAGTGACAGCACAGACTCCCAATGATTTGACTCAATCTCTTCTCTATTTCCACATTTTCACTAATCTGCAAACTCCTTCTACTAATCCACAATACAGGGTCAGGCTCAATTTATAAAAGTTTGTTTAGGGAGACCGTAGCAGTTTTTTGTCCCAGTTTCCTAGAGCCTGTCAATTTGGATTAAAAATTCTGCCAACTGCTCTCTAACTCCAACTCTGCATTACCTGAACCACAACCAAACAGCAGCCCTTAGTGAGCTTTGAAAGTCTGAGATGAAAGCTTAGTATTGACATGATTTAGTTCTTTGGCAGGAGACATCTTTTTAGGTCAGTTGGGTCATTGAGAAAAAACAAGGGAAAAGGGATAAATAGTTCCCTACAGACTTGCTGCATGTTGAAGAAGTAAAGTGAAAGTCGTCTTTGTGGAGATTCAACAGCTGCAGAAAGTGGAAACTGAAGTGACTCTTGTAGGAGTGGAAAGATAACTTAGTGTACCTACAGACAGGACAATCATAGCTGTTTGAAAGGTTCTCCTAAGACTTTTTCTGCTGAATATGACATTTAGCTGCATTGTAGGTTTAAAACGTAGTTATCAACAGGGCTTCCAATAACCCATAGCATGACTTCAATACCTGAGATTTTCTCCTTAGTTTGTTATAAACAATGAGCACATCATCAGGTTGACTAAAAATCTAATCTTTTTGCCATAACTGAGCTAAACACTAAAAGTTGCATTAACAACACATTTAAACTAGAGAAATTGAGGTCTGTAAATATTATCACAGTTCCTCTGTGTGATTACTTTGTACTTTTGTCAAATATGCGGACTTTTATTTTAAAATGATATAACAATGCCATAGCTGTGTTAATTAAATTACATACATTTTTGTTTAGCTATTCCTGTGTGCCTGTCTATTAAAGATGACTATATGACAAAAATTAATTCAGGTTGTTTACATACTGATTCACAACAAAAGTTGCCTCAAGGCAAGCAATTATATATGAAACCTAGAGCACCCTAGCAAATATTTAGCTCTTCATTCATAAATGCTTTGTTTTTCTATTTATCACTTTGCTTTTGAAAATACAATTTTTGCTTAATAAAACTTGGGAGAAAGCATAATATGGGTTGACCTCCCTTCATCCAGCCACTCAGCCCCATCTGGCAGGGGAAAAATTTCTGTCCGGACAGACATTTCTCCTGGGCTCTACTTTGACTTAGACTAAGACAGACTTTGTCTTTTTGTAGACACAGAGTGTACACAAAATTAAATTTTCTCTATACAGCTTTCCCACCATGAATGAGCAGCAGCTTGGCAGTGAAAAAGAACACCCCCCCTCATAAAGTGCAGCAATGATCAAATGTAAACAGTTTAGGAGGGACATCATGCAAAAAGGCATTGATGTGGAGGTTCAGAGCAATGCAAATAAATAAATATATATGGTGCAAAAATGCAGTAGCAGACTTTTGAGTTAAGTTCCTATTTGGTATGATGATATCAGTGTGATGCACAGTTTCGATTTTTAAATTTGATTTAGAGTTTTTTCAACAGTTCCACAATCTGATGGCAGTGGGGGAAAAAACTTCTTGTACCTCATCCAAGGTAGTTAAGATTTTTTGTATTTGTGCTGCTTTATGTTAGTGCTGCTGGATCACATCGGGACCACTTTTCCTTATTCTGCTTCAGACTATCTCAATCCCATCCTGCAGTATTTGTCAATTTCAAATCATAATGTTACGATCTTTTTCTCTGTTCCCGTTTAGCTGTGCCTCCAAACTGGATTGAAATATCAGCTGTGCTTCTACCTTCAACATTTGTTCATACATAGATGTTGGAGCTTGGCCTATTTTCAGTGTAGTCCTATTTCTTTTACTTTAAAATAATAATAATAATAATTATTATTATTAATAATAATTTCACTTTGACTAACTGTATATGCTCTCTTTTATCCTTTGGCTCAGACCTCCTCTGCCTGGCTGTGTCCTTCCAGGACAGGGCCACCTGTAGAGCTGGTTAACCTTTACTTTTTGTACTGTACATCTGCTTCTCCTTGAACCACAGTCGGCTTTGATAGATAGACGATCATACTGAGCCTGGTTTTGTTACAGGTTTCTTCCTACAAGAGATTTTTCCACTTGAAGAGTAAACGATAAAATGCAAGCGGAAATCATTGCCACAAGCTCATCCAGGAGGAGCATCTCTTGCAAGTCAATGACTGAATTCTATCAACTAGTTTTCCTAACCAATCTGACTATGCTGTCTCTGTTATATTCCTTGAGATGACGCTATATAAATAAACAGAATTTTATTTAATTCACTATTTGTCAAAGTCCAAAAAAAAAGAATATCTAACATGTCGACCACATACGTCCTGGTGAGAGGCTGTTCAAACTCTTAACTTCAGACAAGGGCTAAAGTGTTAATAGTAAAAACAAACTGCTGTAGAGGAAGCTGCATTCCCCAGGCTGTCTCCCCATTGAACTCAATGAACACTGTACAGCAAAAGTATTTAGATGCTCTGTTAGAACAATCAGGCTTCTGCACTATTACAACCTGTCTTACTTTTTTTATTCTTTAACAAAAAAAAAAAACAAACACATTAGTACTGTACATAATGCTGTTATTTTTTTTTTTTTATTGTATTTTATCCTGTCCTTGCATTTCTTCACTCTAAAAGCCCTTTATGGATTTACTGATATGCTTTGGGTAATCTGTGTGTGTAATTTTCTTTTTACGGGTGGTCTTTTTAGTTCATATTAGCAATACATGAACAATTTCAATAGGGTGAATGATACACCGTAAATGTTATACCAATGTAACGGCATGATCAGAAGAAAATAAATGGTTGGCGATGTGAAGGACTTTTATCAAGAGATGCATATAGTACAAAACAATGGTGCAAATTTCGCTGGAGTTTAATTTACTATTGTTCAATTAGTTTTAGTTAACCAATCAGGAACTAGATATTGTTCTAATGTAAGGTGAAGGAGAGCAGTGCAGCGAAATATTTTTTCCATTTAAAACTAATCAGTGGCTGATCCCTCCTCCTACAAGTAGAGATTTGCCTCGTTCACCTTTATGTGAACATGCCTTCGAAAATTAAAGGTCTCCTCCTTGTAAACTTTAGGAAGTTAAACGTTTACAGTTGCATTCTAAAGTTGTAGAGACCCAAACTTTAAAAATAACAATAGTATTAAATTGTTTATGGCATAAGGGGCTTTTGGAGGCTTTCAGCGCCTCGATATCTGGTCTCAAGCTTAACCCTTTTGACACAACCTCGACACTTGTGTCAATTGAATCTCAATGTCCTCCACTTAATGTCTATTTTCCATTCTACTCAATGGATGATTTGAATGTGTGTTGATACTTTAAATCTTTTACCAGACTCATCATTTGCTAGAACTTCTTTTGAAAGGCTACGGAAAGCTTTTTAAGTCTGTTGATGGTGTTCACATTTAGTTCAGTCAGGAGCATGTCAAACTGTCTGGGTTTAACAGACCAAACATTCTTTAAATGTTGAATAACACTTTTTTTTAATGAAGTGTACGTGGTATAACCAGCTATAGAAGCCAAAATTGAATTAAACGTGTATTGCAATAAAAATATATATCGTCAGATGCAAGTCAACCATTTCATACAAAGGAAGCATATAGCAAGGGGGGCAGTCAACCTTCACACAGCTAACAGATGTTTTTCTTGAGAATCTGAGTTTTAAGAAACAGTAAATGCCTCACCTACTCAATTTGTGTAATGTTTTTTAGGAGTAATTCATCTACTAAAAAAGGTACTCTAACACCATCTATTCTGCTATCATAAAGCTTTCCCTTTTTTCAGTTAAATTATTAAAATTTATTCTGCTCTGTTCACTGTTACAGCTAATAAAAAAAACTGTTTGAGCGGTGTACTATTGATGCTGACTGTCCCGACTTGTGTTACACATTAATGAACATGCAGCTCATAAATAAGACGGCTCCCAAAGAAATACTGCTGTAATAATGTCATGGCATTTCAACTATATGTATTTTCACAGCTGTAAACAGTCATTATGAGCTTCTGACCTTTGAATGCAATGCTTTAGGACCAAAACAAATGTCATCTCAATAGTAAACTCCTGCCCAGCTTTCTGCTTAAAAAATTCAAGAGTGAAAAGCAGATTGGTGGTGTGGACTGGTGGTGGTGTATCACTGTTATGTGGTAAAAGCAATAGTATGACATTTTAAAAGTTCAGCTACACTTGACTTCAGGGCAAGGTACTAGCAGTAGTCTCTTAGATATTTCCGTAACCCTTTAGATGCATATTCTCAAAATTACAGCAAGTGAACAAGTTTAGACAACACGTTTGACCTCAGTGTGTCAGGAACCTGCTGACTTTAAACTGAGATGTTTGATTTAAAGAAATCATTTATGTGTATTATTTGCTCAAAAAACTCAGGCAGAAAGGAGTTACTTCATTATATTGAAAAAGAAAGTGCAAAAAAGGTGAGGGAAGAAAAACAGAAGCTGAATATTTTCATTGACTTAAAGAAAACCAACACCTGTTTTCTTGGAACCCAATGCAACATTAACAGGAATAAAAAGCTTAATTTTTGATTGAGATGCTAAACATGTATTGGGTATCATTAATTCCCTAAACAAAAAGTCCTTAATAGGATTCATTTTATAATTAGTCTACATACCTGGCTGCACAATGGGAGCTTGTATAGCGAATGCTGAGGAGTCAGTCTACTGACTCACCTTGATTAAATCAGATGATCAACCTGACCTTTCATTCAAACAATGCTGCTTCATTAAAATAACACACCAGTCTTCATATTTGCAATGTTTACATAACAAACATAATGCTGCACTCTTATAGTAGCATTTTTTAAGTGTAGCAGCTGTCTGCTTTGATTTAGCACTGTTATTTTTATGTAAAAGGACTGGATAAACTTGTGATATTTGCAAGGTCATGATCATTTTATCAGTGGAGAAATTCCAGACCATTTAAATTGTATATGTAAAACTAACCAGGTTGGTTAAAGGTTCACAAATGGCTTAACTCAAGTTAACTGCAGCAAATTATTTTGGCTGTAAGTAATGCAGCTCACTCCCTTGATTTTAAATGACTGAATTAAAAACATGGCTTTTTGAAACTACACAATAAACTGCTAGTGGCTAGATGACCAAGCTTACTTTTAACCATGATTAAACTGGTAAAGGGAAATAAAAAAGAAAATAAAAAGCTGTTAATCAGAACCTTTTCCTTAACTTTCTTCCCTTTGATGACAGGATGGACTATCTACAGTACAGCTCTTATAACACAACCAGCATGAAAACCTACAGCTAAGAGATTGCTGTGCTTTTGTGATTTTGGCCAAAAAGCACAATCTAACTACGCTTGCAGTACTGTTATTCAAGGCAACAACAAAAGAGTATATTAAGACCCCTGTTCCCTAATGCTAGGTTGGATGCCAAAGCTAACGCCTGACACGTTTATGATGTTATAGCAGCTAGTTACCATGGTGACTTTAGATGCAGACTGGTAGAAAGACATTGAAGATCTAAGGGTATCAAAAATTACTTTGGCATTTTTTTCTCTGCTTTGATGAAAAATGTAAAGTTTATCATTAATTGCAATTAAGTAAAATATTTTCAAAGCCACATTCTTAAATGGGCCAATTATTTATATATCTGTTCATTATATTATACGGAGCTTTGTCTTTTCAAAGAAGAGTTAAAAAATTGTATTTAAGATACATCTTTCTTTAAAGAGGCCACATAGATAAAGCTGTAGCTCATTTAAAAATATATAATGCTTTAATCTAAACAGATTTTACATAGATTTTCTGAACTTTATGACACATTATAACACAACTACAGCTTGAAGATAACCAAGAATTTTAAATTACTGTGTCTTTTTTGTTATAAAAGCAATATGGAGACAGGAGAACTTTTTTAAGCTTATGTAAAAGATGTGTTCAATATATTACAAAGAAACCTCTTACCAGTTTAGATTAAAAATTCTTAAAGGAATAGTAGTGGTAAAATGTTGCAGCACTTGTTATGTCTTAATATGTATACAGTGTGGAGGTCACACTTGTTTTTATGCATGGAAAAAATAGCTGCCTAATAAACAAACTTGTTTGTCTTGGTCTTGACGGATGTAAGATTCTAATATTGATATTTCAACAGAACATTAAATCTACAACTTAATATGAAACTGATAAAAACAGCAGTTTATCAGTGTTTTTTTTGTAATGTTTAGAGAACAAGGAAGCTGAAACTGATGGTTTAATTTTCTGTCAAATTTTTGGATGCTGTGTTTGCATTAAAATGCTTTAGATTTCAAGTTGCAGGCTCTAAAACAGCACTGTGCCTGTTATGTTGCTCATACCGTACGGTTGGTGCAGATGGGGGTAAATGCATTGGTTCCACACGTAAACAGTCTGTTCCCATTAACCAGTAGTACCCTAATGTAGTTCTGGCACTCCTCCTGCAAAAACACACAGAGAAAAAAACATATACACCCGTTAGCAGAAGTTTAATCATTTATCCAATGGCAAGCATCAGTATTAGGCAGAAGGCTTCAAATTGCACTTTATGCCAATAAGTACGAAAAGCACCTGCATCAACAGGAGGGCTGCTCTGAAACGTGTCCAACTTACATGGAGTCAAATCAAGGCTAATACCTACATGACTGAGCCATGTCACATCCTAATTCAGTGGGGATCAGGGCTGGAGAAGGATCTCAATAAAGCGAAGACCAGATAAATGCAACAGGTGTTGGAGAAGGCCACTCTAAATTTGTTTAACAAATTGCCTTGGCTTTGTCGACTGGTCAGAAAGTGGAATGAAAATGTCATGTCTCATGCAATTCATTCAATCATTCTTTCTCCTTAGATATCCCAATCAATTTAAACCACTTCTCTCTAAATCAGGGTAAAGTGCACTTTCATTGGCCTTTTCTTGGCTCCTTTCTCTTGCGGGAATTTCGCCCTGAGTTTCAACCAAAACTACTAATAACTCTTGAAATGTAGAGCAGTACTGACAGAGTGAATGATTGATTGGATTACAGATCTCTACTCAATTTCATGAACGTTCGACATAAAGGTCAGACTTTCACAGAGGCTTGCAGGCTGTTTCCTTCAACAGAGTCAACCTGTAAATGTAAAGGTGGCATGAAGTTGCAATTCCTTTTGTCACAAGGCGAAATAATAACCCTGTAGGGTCCCCTCATTCTGGAAGTGGCCTTGGCTGTACAGTAGGTAAGGGGCTTCTGTAAAAGTTTAAACCCTTGTAAATCTGCTATTGTTTGAGCCACCAGCGAAGCCCTTACCACAGCTTCTTTGAATCTCAGGGATCAGATTAAGAACAAGAGGCTGTCAGAGAAGAAAGAAGAGATTTTATTTCTCACAAGGACTTGAACTGGTACCTAAAACAATTTTTTGCAGCCTCTCAGCACAGCAAATTAGGCCTACTCACAGTGTCTCTATATTTACCTTTAAAACAGAAGCTTTGTTTATTAACACAACATTTGCATTGGATTCTTGCACCCAGGTAAATGTTAAATATTCAGAAGAATTATTTCAAGAAGCACATTTAAATTACAAACAACAAATGAACATTGGTTTAATATGAATTTTGATTAATTAGTGGATTATGGATCAAAAGTTCAGGGTATTACAGAAGACCAATAAAATGTGATTTTAAATCCAACTATTTATTGTTATGACTATGACAGTCAAGACACTGTTGAGTTGCTTGTTAGTTTGTCCACTTACACACAATTTGATTTTGATGAATTTTATTTAATCAAATACAATTTATTTTAACAAATTCTCACTCTACCCAGTGACACTATCGGTAACTTTGATCCTTTCCCGCTTTCATAATCCTCATTGCCATGCAGGGGACCAAGAAAGCTTGCCTGGTCAGCCAGGCCAACATTGCCCCTAATGACTCCCCTTTTCAGAAAAATAGACCAGTATTGGTTATTGTAGGCTAACAAAGACCTCAACGGCTCGCCATTACTAAGGGGTGGACCTGTTCTTCCAGTTCAATTTGCATGTTTTCTAAGCCAAAACAAGACTTCTAAGCCAAAACAAGGCTTTATAGAGTTGGGCTACTCTATAAAGCTTGGAACTCAATAATTCTAATTCTGACATTTTGAATTGTAAAGGCTTTCTGGAGGGGAAGCACAACGTCTTCATACTTGGAAAACAAAGTCCAGTGGTTTGTTTTTGAACAATTTTGGAATTTTATTTTTTGCCTGTTGAACAAACTACCGTGGAAAAATGGATAAGGGTAATCTTTGTCAACAATCTTCCTTTTCAAGCGGTGCTTTAAATATATGCTGCAAATTTTTCACCATTTTTGATAACTTGTGACAAGAACATCTAAAGATTGTGTATTTGGACAAAGGCAGTGTTTCCAACAACCAGGGAATTACAGTGCAGTCAGTAAGCATTGCTCATTTAACATTATTTTGTTAGTTGCTGGTAAACAATGCTAAACGAACCATGGACACCTGCTAATGTTGCTAACACTACATCTCTATGTATTATACAGAGTTCTACAGTGTCTTGATTTCTTAGTTGCTTTGCTATGTGAATGTTTGTAAACTGCTCTACATGCTTTTCTGTTAGTAAGCATGTCTTTGGTTAAAGAATCTCTATTACAATGTGTCTGTCTCTTCGCCTTCTGGTTCTGGCTTTGGTTCAAGATAGCATTCCGGAATCAGTTGGAGTCCTAAAGTGTCAGTCGGTTGGGGTGAACACTAAATATGTGCACCATTGCTGAGATTTGGCTATTGTTTTGGAGCAAATCAGTGCATGCAAAACTGGGCCAGCCCCATACCGCCTCTGTTCTTCCTGTGACCAATCAACACACACCTTGTTAGTATAAATGCAGAGTCAAACTTAATTGTGTGCCCTTGCAACAAAAGAAAAAGGTTAAAAAATGAGTTCAAACTAGCTCTGTTTAGAAACATCTTCTCTCAATAATGATTAAAAATGTATTGGAAGGCAATTTCAGAGAGGACTGTATATGTAAAAATATACTTTGCAGTAATCCAACATTTCCTGATTAAAATAACAAGGAGTTTTTTTATCATGTAAGGCTTACTTAAGCTCTGTGTTTTTATGTTATTTTAAATGAGTCATTGTTGTAGGTAAACAGAATTAATTGGCACATAATAAACATGGTTCACTATTTGAATAAAATAACTGAAACTGCTAAACTTTTTAATATTTAAATTCATTAATATGCCTCTGCACTGATAGTGTTTATGCAGCACAGTTTGTTTTATAAACTTGTGTAAGGAACGGTGTCGAAAAAAATAAAGAATCTGCATATTTCAATTCTTCCCCACAGTTTCCTTCTACTAATTGTAATATGTATACTAACATTTTGCAAACTTTTCTGCTTGGCTTTATTATGACGGCTTTCAGACATATTTCTGCATCTGTACTGTAATGCAAAAGTGCTTGTGGTTGGTTGGCAGCAATCAAGCTGATTGAACTCTCCTTTCTTGTTGTAGCTCAAATACATCAAACACAGAAGTGAGGAGCGGATGCTATTGTTTGAAAAGAAGAAAAACACACAATCACCAGTAAATTCTCTGAAAAGCACAGGGATGGTATCTGTGTAATAGCTTAAGCTAAGGTATATTGCTGTGCATTGAGGTAGGTAATAAACCACGGAAAGCCATGTCAACTGCTGGAGGGAAAGAAAAATAAGCTTCTAAAGCTATTCTTAGTGTACATCACAGCAACTGATCCTCAGAAGAGTACACAGAGCTAAACAATACTGCTATGCCAGACTGCAGCAACTCCCAAGGACTGAGGTAGCTTTGGTCTGTAATTCACTTCAGTGATCATGTGCTGGGCAGACTGTGCATGCCTATTATGGGTCCCTGACCACCTTTCACTGGAGGATAAATACACAGTGGCACACGCACATAGAAATCAAGGCTGAGCAGTTCACCTACAAGTCAAGTTCAGCTCAGAAAGACATCTGTTTTAAATAAAAGCTATGCCAACCAACCACATGTAAAAATATAGTGTGCAAAGAAAGAACTAAAACAATAGAAACTCCCTTTGCTCAAAAGTCTATAAAAAAAGGTATAAGTATAGTTATGGAACGCTTTACTATATAGCAAGTTGATTTAAGACCACTTTGAAGCCACACTGTCACTTCCGGAGTCTCTGTATGTTAAGGGTGCATAAAGAGACGCAGGTTGCTCTCAAGTGTTGATATGTTTAAATTTAATATTACAGTACTTCATTTGAGTTTGCACTTCAAGAGGGTGCTCATTAAGAGGGTAGTTCTGAGCTCCAGTTAGAAGGCTAGAGGTTTTGTAAGAGTTTTTATTTCAAAACAATTCAGTAAAATTGGATTGGTACCCATTTTTAACCTGTTTCAAGGTGTGCATTTCCCTGCTGGTTATTGTGAAATAAAATGTACCCAATTTGAATCAGAATCGGCTTCCAAGGCCATCTTTTCTGAGCAGGTTTTATGGAATAACCCTCTGATCTGTAAACCTTCATAACCACAAAGATTGTTGATAAGTTGTGAAATTCTGTGGTGGTGAAGGACCATCTAAACAATAGCTTCTGATCATTTATTTATCAAAATCATATGTATCAATGTAGCAGAAACAAATACTATGTAATTTTGTATGTATTTTTCAAAAACTTGTACAATACTTGTGTGCAATTAAATTAAAACTGGGCGTTTAGGAGCCGTATTAAGCATAATGGGCTAAACTTCCAGAAACCTTTCCAAAATCCTTTCAGTTAATGCAAAACAGTTTTGCTTTTGCTTTTAGTTATTAACTGGTGTATATTTGATGACTGAAGAGACAATACATATTGCCAACTCATTAACAAAAAAAAACTATGGCCTCAACAGCCAGTCAGTATGAGAGAACAGTACAAAACTCTAATAGGCTATCATTTCTTCCTAATGGTAATTACCAACTTAGTCCCATGCTGCTGTGTGATGCATCCTATTCCTCAACTTATATTTGTTGCAACTTATTTATTTTGCCTTAACATACCCTCTTTCGAAACAGAAATTTAAGTAGAGACAGAAAAATAGACTAAATTCAACAATATTAAGATTGGACTACATCTTACATTACTAAACACCAGAGGTGGGCGTGAGAGCCTTCAAAGTCTTCACTGCTGGCCTATAATCAACCAGAAATACTAACCTACATTCACAACCTAAACCTTAATTTTCTTCTATCCAACTGTATTAATTTATTCCAAACAATCCATTCTCTTACTTTTGTAGTGTTCCTCTTTGCTGTGCTGCTTCAAGTGGTTGCTGCCTTTTTTTTCCAATAAGAGTTTTGGCCTTAGTGTATTGCTATGTCAATCAAATCTGCCCGTGGAAATCAGGATCAGCAGTGCTGGCAAATGAAACAGTACCTTAAAGTGAGGAACGTTTTCTTCAACCAATCAGATTTGCCCCACAGGGCCATTTAGCGGGCCCACTAATTTCTGTCCTCTAAATGGTCAGTTAGAACAAAATGTTTACAGCCAAGTTGAGCTAGTGATAATCTGTATTTTAAATTCACTTTTGTTAAAAATTATTTTGGCCTCAATGACTGATGCTAAATGTAGATACTAAGACTTCCTGCACAAGCTCAGAAGGATGGATTTGTTTATAAATAATAAGCATCTCTGGTGAGTGTTATACATTTTATTTTCATGCTTTTTTTATTAAGTAATTATTAGATGTATATTGAATCTGAACGGCTACTGATGAAGTAAACATGTCTGACCCATGGTTACAGAATAGAGGATTGCGGTTGTCTTAACTCGGCATTGTGCTAAATAAATCTCTGTATTCAAAGAGGTATATTACTCTGTTGTGCCTGCGCTTGTTACATTTTTAATTGAATACTAATGGTGGTTTCTTTTACACCCATTGTTGCAGATATGCAACAAACCCTTGGTATTACTAAGATAGCATGTGAATTACCTCAGTGGCAGTTATTACATTAAGTGAACAGGAACCTTTGGCAAGCTCTTGTTTCAATTATAACCTATCCCTAACAGTTTAAGTTGTTATATATATGCATACATATAAATTCCGACATCAACGGGATAAGGAGAGTTGAGGGGGGCCCACTATAGGCCTACGTACCAGATGCACCATCCGCCACCACAAAACACATTGAATAATTCTGTTTCATAAAGAGTGAATTAAATTAATATTCATGAAGTACATTTTCTTTTTTATATACTGTAGTATAATACAAAAGAACTCAAAGGCAGCTTTCTAACTGAGACAACAAGCCTTGTTGGCTCTAAAGATGCAGCTGAGCCAAAGTAATTCACTACAACGTGATCATTGTAGTGGATAACATCATAGTGGCATGTGTTTGATAAAACGATATGTTGAAGTAAACTCACCTCGGATTTTCCACGGCTGAAGCAGGCTCCCTTGGTGAACTCATCACAGTGCCATTCAGCCTCCTGTAGAGACAGAGGGAAGCAGTGTGAAGCTCCCAATAAAGCATTAACAGGAAGCAAACATCGGATGCTTTGTCAACCTGAAGCAATTTGAAAACCACTCAGGGAATCCAAACAAAACGTCTTGCGATGCTAAATTTCCACCCCCCATTTTAAGCATTTTCCTGCCAGGTGATATATTTTACATACAAGAATAAACATGGCAATAATTGAAAAAAAAAACATCCAGAACTAATTGACACCAATTCCAGTCAAAGAGAAAGATGAAAGAAAAAAAAAAAAAACACACAAAAAACAAACAAACAAACAGGGAACACACCAGACTTCATATCTTCAGCGTAAACTCTCAGACGGACCAACGTGCACACTTAAAAATGTTGTGAACCTTGGTAAAAAAACAAACACAGAATCCAATTAAGGTGCATACCAGAGACTTCAAGAAATGAGAGCCGAGAGTGTGCAAGCCACATGTCAGTTTGATTTATGTATGAGGGAATAGAAGGATTCCTAAGACATAACAGGCGGATCCCTTGAGATAGATGTCGTTGTGATATACATGGGTGTAAAAGAGAGCTAGATCCATTTTTAATTTTTAAAACAGACAAGAAGATGAATAAGAAAATAAGAGTTTCTGTTCTCTTACGGAAGAATAGATTCAGGTTCTGCCTTTTAATTTTTTTGTGTGACCTCTGTGGAGGGGGTCTCTGTCATTGATGAAAAAAATCTTTCTTCATGTAACAAGGGCTGGCCTTGGGAAAGCCATGGGCCACTGAGTCCCTCACCCTGATGACAGGCAGAATTAGCCTTTACTGCCACTAGGTTCCTATGAGTGGCAGAGAGAAGATTAGTTAAGCGAAAACCTGGCTGGCTCATACTTGCGCTTAATTCAAAAAAATTGTCCAAAAGCAATATATTTAAACTGTTCTTTAGAGAAATGTTACTTTTATTTTAATACCCTTGAATCTGTCCAGTGCAAAAGACACTGTCAAGTGAATATACCAAGATTAAATAGTATACCTTCCTAAAGCTAAGACATTTGGAGAACTTGGATAAAACACAACAAAAAACATAACTGCATTACAATCAGCATTACCACTGTCTATAAAGCAGGTAAGTACTTTGGGGGAGTTGTGGCGTGTACTTTTGAGAGTGTAATGACAATATAGTTGAAATCTTCTTCTACTTTTAAAGGTTTCTGACACAAGAAGGAGTGTTTTCACAAATACCCTTGAGCCAGAAAGGCATACTATATAAGGATCAATACATTGTGTCTGTTACTGCACGGCTATGAAGTCTATCACTCTCTACAGTGGTAAGGTTTGTTTTATGTTTTTGAAAAGCTTTTAACAGGAGAATGGTAAATATAAAATACATGTATGCATGACTGCAAACTGGAGACAGAGACAAGGGAGATACTTGAAAACAACTACTGTATGGGGGAAACAATGGAAAAATGTGGATACAAACAGGTGAAGAGGATGGATTTCTCTTCAACCACTCAACAGTCCCTCCATTGGTAGAGGGATTTAACCAAATGGAATCTCAGATTTAAGGAAGAACCAATCTTGTGCTGAAGGACAAGTTCACAATGCGGTTTTCTTTACCACACGATGAAGCTTGAAGAAGTCGACAAGACCCACACATTGTTTTAGAATTTACCAGGTAATTATTTGTGTTTTTAATGTGTAATCTGCTCACACATAATGTCTAAATGCTACTTCCACTGAGCAGCACTGAATACAAAATGTGATACCATGTGGGTGAACATGGCTCAGAAGGACGAGAAGCTGGTCTTGAAATCAAACTTAGACAACTTTTAATGAAATTTTGTATACACAGAATGTATACAAAACAAACCGAAATGAACATTTCCATTCCATAAAGTGCAGCAGTGATCAAATGTAAACAGTGTGGGAAGAAAAAAAACATGGTGCAAAAATGCATTGATATGGAAGTTCAGAGTATTAATATATATGGTGCTAATTCAATCTCCTCTTTTGTTTCCCTGTTCTTTATTCCTTTAAGTCACAAAAGCACAGAAGAATTCTGTTCAAAGGCCTTTTCTGAGGCCAAGAATTATTAAGAAAAGTACTTCTATGTCTACTGTTTATCATTATTAAGTCACAAGGAATCTTTGATGTCAGTTTACTATCATGACTATTTTTATTAGCATTCACTCTCGCTTCAAAGGAAACTTTTTCAATTAGAGGTTTTGCCTCATTGGCCCTTGGTAGACATGAAAGCTACTGAATGTGTGCCATCACCTATTGTATAACACAGACATATGCAGCCACTAGAGCCCATCTGAAGAGAGAAATGCATTCACAATATGTGTGGCACTGTTCAGTGAGACAAAATATAGCGCATTAATGTTAGCCGACTTGTCTATTTCTCCTTTCTGTATTTGTCAGTTTGTATTCCTGGGAGAACTGGCTATTCTGGGGCCATGAAAACACAAAACACACACATCTTCTGCATAGGCAGCAAGACCATGCACACAGCAACATAGCTGGCCCCAGCTGAATTCAGTGTGGGCGCGGAAAGTGCTTTTGCTAATCGCAGGGGGTGGAGGAAAATCTGTTAATGGCCCGAAACCCAGCTCACTTACGTACAAAAAAAATCAATCATAATCCCAACTAAAGCTCCAACTTCAGATCATGTTAATGTGTCAACATGATTCCTTTTGTGGTGGCTAAGTGATTATGTTATCATCATTCGACACGTTTTAGAGGATGTTTTTAGAACCCTGCATGTTTTCACTGCACCTTAAAGGCGTTGATTTTAAGTTTGTAGTTGCTGAAGGAGATGACCATAAACCTTTAAGTAGGGGATGTGTTCTAGCGTCATTGACCACAAAAGCGACGTAATCTGACAGTCCCGGCTCAAATGGTCTGGAAGAAGGAAAATAATCAGGTTGCACAATGACTAGCAAAGGGTCATTAAGAAACATTAAAAGCTCATTAGGATGCCTTTGTTGCACTGCTGTAATTCTAAAATGAAGTTGTCTTGTGATGAAATATATGGAGAATGTACTTTGGGTAAATCTTAATAATTCTTGGCCTTATCAGAAAAGGCCTTTGAACAGAGTTCGTTTGTGCTTTTGTGACTTAAAGGAATAAAGAACAGGGAAACAAAAGAAGAGAATGAATTTCATGCAACGATAAAGGTGGTGAATTAAACTGGTGTAATAATTATCTTTTAAGGAAAATGAGTTTTGTGAACACACTTTAACAAAAAACAAACTGCTGGCTTGTGCAAAATTCTGGGTTTAACGTTGTTGAGATAATTTTTCAGTTTCACCACAAATAAAGAGCTGCTCATTTTTCATTGACCGGCAGTTCCAGCTGTACAACATCCTAATAAGACTTCACTAATCCTCTACTCAGACATAATAATGAAGGATGAGACGGTATCAAAGGGATTTCTTATGTCAGTTTCACTGGTTCATGTTAGTTCCTTTAGCTTAAAAGAAAGTAGTTTTGTTTACTTATGATAACATTTGACTTCCATCTGGTATGTATATAATGCAAGACAACACTACCAATATCCAACATTGATGATATGGACGCATAAATAGCATTAGTGTCAAAATAGGTTGTTGTCACATGACTTTGTCAAACCAGATAAATATTAAATGTATACAGTAGGAAACATAAACAAACTACCATTAATTCACTGACCATTAAAATGTACTAAACATCAGATTTATTTCAAAATGCATTGAAAGTGCCAGATGGATTTAAAGAAATGTGACCGGAAAGGATGTCTGAAGTTGTTGAGGCATGGAGCAGAGAAATTTCTACTTAGATGGGTTTTATCGAGAGTTATAATTAAACAACCACAAATAATCAGTTAGATGCTGGAGTATAATTTGAGGCCGACTTTGTTATGCACTGATATTACTCCATCACTTGAAGAATTCAAAATCCAACTCCTTTGCTTGTGTATGATGTATACTACAGTTCTGACTGCTTCTGACTTAAAAACATTTTCCCATGTGGAAACATATAGGCACAGAAACATTCAGTGACTCATTCAGTTGTTGACTGTCTTAAAGCAAAGAAACGGTAAGAAAAAAAGAATGTCTCTACTAGAGCCATTTCTACATCTGCTGTACATATCTCCTTCGCAAACCTTTGTTCTGTTTCAGGCTATATTTTTGCAGTATGAACATCTTTGTTTAGTAGACCTGGAAGTCTTTCAAAGACTAGGGTCTCTCAGGATGTATAGTCATCATACTGTCATCTGTTTATCCAAAGGCAGATGTTCCATTTTGATGCCGTCCTCCACTCTAGCTATTTAGTAGTGTAGGCACTGGACAATAACATATTTGTTTAAGAGGCTAAGAAAGCCATCATCTGAATGTTTTATATATGCTCAGAATCTCTCAACAGCACCACAATTGGTAAACCGGAGGTATTTATGTTTTAAGCATGTTTCAAATAGTAAGAATAATGGTGTCTTAAATTTTGCACTATGTGAAACATTTAGGCATCCTTTAAAACTTGAGCCTTTCTGTGAGTAACAATGTATTTGATATTTCAGGAAAAAAAAGAACTGCTCCAGCATCGATTTCATCCACTACACCCCTGAGGCTGCACAAAAGTAGAAATTGAAACAAGAAGACTGAGGCCAAGTGGATTAAATCACCCAAGTACATCCTTTTTTTCCCACTTTTGTTTTGGCTGGAGCACCATTCTGTCTATTAAAAGGCTCTTCCAGGAATCCTCTTAAAGCTCTCAGTTGGCCACTCAAAATCATCCCTACATGACATTTATATAAAAAATATATAATTATTTCACACCGTCTTTCCGATCATCTTATATCTATCAAGACTATAAATAGATTTTGTAGAAAATTTGATGCATATCTAGTGGATAAATGGGATTTGTCACATTCTTTCATTAATAAACGGGTGTCTGCTGCTTCCTTTTTTATGCTTGCACACATTACGGTCACATGCACCTCAAGAGCATCTTTGGTGCGTCCAGTAAAGTGTCTCT